CTCTCAGAACCCGCACCCCTCCCGCACTCGGGGCGGTGTTCAGCCTGCAGACACCCCCCTGCTGTGGGCGCCCCCCGTTTGCTCCCCACCCCTCGGCGCTAGACCCCTCTGGAATCCGAGGAGCTGGGCGCGCTCAGTCCCCTCCAAGCGGGGCATTTCCAACCGGATGCATCACATCGGGGAGAAAACATCCAACCGGATGCATCACATCGGGAGAGGACATCCCTCGGCCCAGCCCAGGGTGGAGGCAGGTGCCTGCAGGCCGGTGCACCCACGTCCTGGGTTGGGGGGCAGCGACGTGACGTCAGAACGCGGCTCTGCAGGCGGGCCTGAGACCTGAGCTCCACGCAGGTGCAGCCGGGCCCGCTCAGGAGCAGGAGTGGGCGGAAGCCGAGAGCAGCGCGCAAGGCGCAGCGACCTGAGCTCCGGAGGCACCAGACCTCTCGCCAAGGCGGGACGCCCAGCCCGATGCTACCGCCTCCTCCTCGGGAGCCACGTGGCTCCGTGCACCTGGGGGTCTCACTCTTTTCCTCTTGGGACACAGCCTAGATTTTATCTCGGAAGGAGGGAAGGTGCCCCGGCTCGATGGGAACCTTCTCGGTTCGCGCCCCCGGTGGCTGCCTGCAAGCAGCACAGGCCTCCGCTGGAAAGCGGGGTCTCCTACTGCAGAGAGGACACGACCCTCCCAGCGCCCTCCGACCGTCCAGGAAACGGCTCTCCGCCCAGACGCAAAGAGCGGGAACGCGCAGGCCTGAGAGACCAACCCTCTGGGCCACGTCCTTGGCAGAGAAGGGGAGCTGGTGGGTTCCTGCCGCCGCAGCCCCCTTACCTTGGTAGCTAAGGAGTGGGCAGCCCCGGCCTCCAGGAGGACCGAGGCCACGTCCACCTGGCCTTCGCGGGCGGAGATGTGCAGGGGCGTGTACCCGTTGGTGGTGGCTGCGTCCGGGTGCGCCATGTGCTGGAGCAGCAGCTGCACGATCTCCGTCTTGCCCAGGCGCGAGGCGATGTGCAGAGGCGTCTGCTCCTCCTGCAACGAAAGGCAGGTGAGAGGTCAGGGCCCGGGCAGCCCAGTGCCACCTGCTCCACCTGCAACCCAAGGCAGGTCAGAGGTCAGGGCCCGGGCAGCCCAGTGCCACCTGCTCCACCTGCAACGAAAGGCAGGTCAGAGGTCAGGGCCCGGGCAGCCCAGTGCCACCTGCTCCACCTGCAACGAAAGGCAGGTCAGAGGTCTGCCGGGGCAGCCCAGTGCCACCTGCTCTTCCTGCAATGAAAGGCAGGTCAGAGGTCAGTGCCCGGGCAGCCCAGTGCCACCTGCTCCTCCTGCAACCCAAGGCAGGTCAAAGGTCAGTGCCCGGGCAGCCCAGTGCCACCTGCTCCTCCTGCAACCCAAGGCAGGTCAGAGGTCAGTGCCCGGGCAGCCCAGTGCCACCTGCTCTTCCTGCAACGAAAGGCAGGTCAGAGGTCAGGGCCCGGGCAGCCCTAATGCCGCCGCTGTCGTTTGCATCATGGTTTCCTTTTTCTAGGGGCCCCTAGGCAGAAGGAAATTATTACTACCCTGACCGCAGTTATTTCATATTTCCCTACGAGGTGACCTGTGTGGTCACAGGATCTTCCTTAGCTTTTATTGCTGGAGGGAAGGGGACATAGAAGAGGGTGCAGAGGATAAATGGTGAGGGAAGGAGACCTGACCTGGGGTGGTGACACACAATACAACATACCGATGACGTCTCAGAATTGTACACCGGAAACGTGTAATTTTATTAATCAATGTCATCCCCATAAATTCAACAAAATAAGTAAATAAGTTAATTGGTTAATTAAAGTATGTCCTTCCCTCATCTTGGCTGTGGTTCTCTAAGCACACCCACAGGCCAGGCTCCAGCCTCATTCACATTTAAATAGAAACCAACCCTTGGTTCTGAATAAGAAAGAAATCGCACCCAGAAGCCCTAAGACCTAGATTCCCATCCGGAGGTTTCACTAGGAGCAGGTGCTGAGTGCCTGGGAACCAGGTCAAGAGAAAGCCCGGGGGATGCTGGGAAACTGGCTCTCCCTCTGCCCGGCAAGCCAAGGCCACACGCGGTCCTGGCTTCAAGGAGAGGCTGAGGATAGAGGGCACATTGTAAGCAGATCCGTGGAAATGTCCCAGGACGTGGTGCAGGTCCGGGACTGGCATCCCGATGCAAACGGGAGCTGGGGCAGGAAGGAAACGGGCTGGCGCAAGCCCAGGGCTCCCCGGGAAGCCGCGGACGGAGCTGGTGTGAGGACGCAGGACACGCTGCGGAGGCTCCAGGAACCCCTGGCTCTCAGGTGTGGTCAGGGAAACGGGTTCAGCGTTAAGAGACCCAGACCAAACTGTTCTCTTGTGAAAAGAAAGGGCGGGCAGCCTCGGCGATGGGATGAGGTCTGCGCACACTGGCCAAGGGCACGTCAGTCAAAGAGCAGGGAGGAGCTGGGCCCCGAGCTGAGGACACACGGAGACGGAATCGGCGTTCACAGGGTGCCGCCCCTCCCAGGTGTGCGAGGAGCTACGGGAAGACGGGAGACCGCACTGGGTGGACCTCAGGGTGGTGAGGTGGGCAGAACGGGCATTTCATGGACCTGTGCCCTCCAGGAGCTGCTTCCTGTGCGATCACCTGGCCCTATCCTCAAAGCAGGCCCGAGAGGAGGCACAGCATCCACCATCAGGCCGTTCTCCAGAGGAGGAGGTTAAGGGGAATTAAATGAGTCTCCAAGATTACCCACGGCCCCTCAGCTACTCACCAGGACAGACAGACAGAAATGCTACAGTATTTCCAAGAAAAGAGCCCGAGGCCAGTGGTTTTGAGGAAGGATTTCAGGTACCAAAAAGGCAAGAATAACAGGTTAAATAGGCAACAACAAAAATTGGCAGAGATACAGAAAAAGAGCAAATGTCTATTAAAAATAGAACACATTAAAATTTGAAAATAGAAAAATATAATGAGTTTTTCTTTTGAGAGATAATGGGAAACCCTGTTATGTTTACATAAGGATCACAAACTAGTGATTAGGAATGTTATCACAATTTCTGGTAAAAACAGTGACGTTCATGCTCCTCAGGTTGCACTGACTGACCATAAAATTTCTGTAAAAATAGCCGCGTGCAGGTGACCGTCCCATGAAGGAGGACAGGCAGCCACGGAGGGTGTCAGGGCAGGAGTGACTCCGTGTGACACCGTGGGAGGGAATGTCCAAACCCACAGACTGCCCAGCACCCTGATGCAAACAGTGACTCCGGCTGACGCCGCCGTGTCCATGGGGGTCATGAGCTGTGACAAGTGCACCGTCGGGTGGGGTCATTTAGGAAATCTCTGTACCTTCCACTCAATTTTGGTATAAAACTAAAGTTGCTCTAAAAATAGTCTTTAAGGAAAAACAAAGCAGAAAAAAGCCAAGGCAGGGAAGAATACAGTTTGAATAACAAAAACTAAACATTTAAGAGCAAAGTACCAGTGATGATACCAAAGATCATCAATTGCACTAACTTGTGCGATGGAGAGAAAGGCGATACCATCCAAAGACAAAGCACTGTCCAGGCTGCCCACCTACCCCTGGTTCTGGGGGGAAACGCAGTAAAACCGCGGAGTCAGAGGGTGTAAGAAAGACTGGGAGAAGCATTAGGGTTTCCAAGTCTAACCCTCGGAACTAACAGCAAAGACTGAACATGGAAGGAGAATCTGAGAGGCCTCGGCGGGCGCTTCCTTCCAACAGGACAGTTTCTAAAGCGAGTCAGGCGGCCCATTCGAGCTGAGGTGTGTCAGACGGTGAAGAAGGAAAGTGGCCCGGCCAGTGTGGCTCAGTGGTTGAGCATCGACCTATGAACCAGGAGGTCACAGTTCGATTCCCAGCTGGGGCACAAGCCCAGGTTGTGGGCTCAATCCCCAGTGTCGGGCATGAAGGAGGCAGCTGATCCATGATTCTCTCTGATCATTGATGTTTCTATCTCTCTCCCTCTCCCTTCCTCTCTGGAACCAATATAGATAGATAGATAGATGGATGATAGATAGATAGATAGATAGATAGATAGATAGATAGATATAGATATAGATATAGATTTTTTTTTAAGAAGAGAAAGTGACTAAATACTCCCCAGGAACCCCAGAGATACTGGTGTGACAGTCGGCAGGACAGCATGGAAGAAAGAGGGACAAACACTGCCGATGAGGCCAGTGTGAGGAAGAAGGTGGGACAGCAGCAGTCGGAAGGAACTTTAAGGAAGAGACATCAGCCTGGCGGGGGATGAGGGGTTAGGAACAATGAGAAACAGGGAAATGCAACCGAACAGTGTCTGGGCCCAGGTTCTTCTGTTGCTGACAGTGGAGGGAAGACAGAGAAGGAAAGCCGGAGTAAGGAGGGTGACCTCATCACAGGGGTGGGAAGAAATGGGTGAGATGTGTGCATACCTCCACAGCAGCAGATTGTAAGTGCAAATGCGTGGAAACAAGCAGATGTGTGTGCAAGGGCTCTCACAAGGCAACATTATTCAAATGGTGGTGGGGGCTGCGTTTCTTAGATACCGAATTGCACATTTCTCCAAATGCTGACGCTTCTGAAATGGGGGCATCCCCACTGCCTGCACTCGCTGCTCACTTCCTTCTGGCCCGATGCGCGGGTCCTGAGGGGTGCCCCCCTGCACCCCTGGAGGGAGGGGCCCGGGCCCAGCTCCTACCCTGGGAGGGGCCGTGAGGAAGGGGCCCGGCCCCAGCACCTACCCGGGCTCTGGCGTCGACCAGGGCGCCGTTGCGTAGCAGGCATCGCACCACCTCCACCTGGCCCGCCCGGGCCGCCATGTGCAGTGCCGTCTCCCCACGCTGCCGAGACAAGACATCAGGGTCAGTGAGCCCGTGCTCAGGTGGCAAAGAATAAAACAAGCCTTTCTGTGACGTTCAGCAATAAACCCAAAGTTCAGGAAACCTATGGAAAGGCATAATCATTCCACTGTTACTCAGTCTGGACAACCACGGCTTTGTGTCTTCTCTAACTTCATACGGATACAACCAACTCCTCTGCCCTTTCAGTCCATAATGAGCCGACAAACTTACCCAAATGCCCAGGACACCAGGGGCTGAGTGTTGTAAGCAGCCCGGCAGGATTTAAATTTGTGATGTGTCGTTGCTTTTCTTCAACCTAAAACCTGTCATGATCACACTCCATTAGCGATACCACCGTGGTCACGTTTTAATGAGGAAGTCCAGATGCTGCAGGTCGAGGCAGCACACTCCAACCATCACTCCATCTGCACCACGCGTGTGTCGCTCCTTCCCAGAGTTCAAAGTTAATATCCGAAATAAACTGCTAGTTTTCACCTGGTTGGGTTAGGAGACTAGACAGTCAGACAGTGACTGTACCAAATCTGACCTGCCCAGGAGGTTCCCTGCCTTTCAGTAACGAGCCATTTAATGACAGAGTCACTGGACAGACCTGCTGGGGTGGCAGAGCCGTCCGCGGGTGGGCAGCGCTGGGCATGGGCCTCGCACTCCCGGCCCATCGACCGCCACACTGATCAGGAAATAGTAGCTTAGAGGTTAGAGAATTTTCTCACTGGGAAGCCTGTTCATTACTGACTAAAAGCAAGGTTTTGCGTTTTTTTTAAAGAGCCTATATTAAAACCACCTACAGCTCTGCACACGTCAAACTTTCAGCCATAAAGTTTGGCCATAAAAGAGCACGACACTGAACTAGCAGTGAACACTGAGTCACTAGTCCTAGAAAGAAGGCTGACGTAGCCACGGGAAGTAACTAAGCCGATCTCAGGGTTGGTCATGGTGAGGGGAGTCGGACAAATCCGAGGAGTGCTTTCTTCTCATTCCTTGCACAGGAAACCCTTCAACCTAGAGGATTTAAGGCGAACTTTGGGTTCTATTCCCAGTAATTGGAGACTCCATTCCTTATAAAGTTGTGGGATTCATTTCAAATGAGTTAACTTTGAAAGCATTAAACTGGACGTCTACTCTAATGTTTTATTTTATGAATGGCTCTCTGGCCCTCCAGTGCCCTCATGTTCTGGTGATATGCTTGACTTTGGAGGGGAAGCGTGCCGGGAGCATCCTGTTTTACAGATGATGTGCGATCGGGACAGCAACACTGTCTTCGGGCTTCGGATGTGCGGCGAGACCTTTCCTCTCTGACAACCACCATTTCTCACTTGTTTTCTATGTCACGTCAAGCCTGTCTCTAAACCAGCGGTTCTCAACCTGTGGGTCGCGACCCCTTTGGGTCGCCTAAGACCATCAGAAAACACATATATAATTACATATTGTTTTTGTGATTAATCACTGTGCTTTAATTATGTTCAATTTGTAACAATGAAAATAAATCCTGCATATCAAATATTTACATTATGATTCATAACAGTAGCAAAATTACAGTTATGAAGTAGCAACGAAAATAATTTTATGGTTGGGGGTCACCACAACGTGAGGAACTGTATTAAAGGGTCGCGGCATTAGGAAGGTTGAGAACCACTTCATGAAGCTGAGGTCTCCTAACTGTTAAACACACACACCTCCAGACTCCATCCTATAACAGGAGTTAAGCCAGAGAGGCCTCCAGAGCACCTACTCAACAATGAGTGTACGTTCACTTCACAAGCCAAGATTCGTCAGTCTACTGACAAGATGGAAAATGCTAGTCTTACAATTTCCAATACCCTCATTTTATAATAAAACTAGAGGCCCAGTGCACAAATCCGTGCACGGGTGGGGTCCAGCCAGCCTGGCCCCAATCGGGGCCCAATCAGGGCCGGGCCAGCTGGGGGCAGGGGCCAGCTGGGGGAGGGGCCAGCGGGTCCCACCCCCGATTGGGGTCAGGGGACAGATTGGGGATGGGCTGTGGGCCCACTGGCCCTGCCCCAGAATGGGGTGGTGGGGGCCGATTGGGAACTAGCAGCCAAGGGGAGAGGCCATGGGTGGTTGGCCAGTCAGCCCTGCCCCTAATCAGGGTGGGGGGGCCGATCTGGGGTGGGGTCAGCCAGGGTGAGGGGCTGCAGGCCTATTGCGGTGGTGGGGGCCCATCATGGGTGGGGCTGGCCAGAGGGAGAGGCTGCAGGAGGTTGGCCACCGGCCCTACCCACTATCAGGCCGTTTGCTGGCCGTAGTGGGCGTCATAGCGACTGGTCATTACAGTGTCCCAGTCGCTGGCTTTTTATACATATATATATAGACTAGAGGCCCAGTGCACGAAATTTGTGCACTCGGGGTGGGGGGAGAATCCCTTAGCCTGGCCTGCGCCCTCTCACAGTCCAAGAGCCGGCAGTCGGAATATCCTTAGCGCTGCTGCAGGGGTGGGAGAAGCTCCGGCCACTGCGCTCGCCAGCCGTGACTCCACTGATGCACGACTGGGGCTGGGGAGGGACATGGGAGGGCTCCAGGGCGTGTCTGGCCCATCTCACTCAGTCCCGATGGGCCGGACCCCAGCAGCAAGCTAACCTACTGGTCGGACCATCTGCCCCCAGTGGTCAGTGCATGTCATAGCGAGCAGTTGAGGGGCCTTAGCATATCATTATCATGTTACGCTTTGATTGGTTGAAAGGCCAACTGGATGACTGGACCCTTAGCATATTAGGCTTTTATTATATAGGGTAAGTGATCTATATGGTGTTTACACATTTGAAACTGATAGTTACATAAAAAACCTAAAGTATTAAGTGTTAGATTCAAAGACAAGCTTTGTATTTCTAGGCAGACATCTACGGTCACTCCCCTGCCACCAGGGATCGTGTTTGATTCCTGATGACTTTGGGGAAGCCGACCTGTACTGTAAATTCCCTTTTCCTAGTGCATTACCCTTGTTTAGGCGTAAGTGTAAATAAGAAAGAGAGGGTGTGTAGTGTTTAATCATAACTTCCATCTGTTGAGTATTGCACACCTTAGGGTATTCAACATGCCTGTTTTCTTTATCTCCAGTTGATGAACTGTAAGGATTGGGGGGGATTCTTCACCCAAATATGCAGCGTGAACTCAGCCAGGGATCCACTGATCGGCTAACAGGGCCCTGTCCTCTGGACAGCTCTGCGAGGCGTGGTCTTGGACCTGTGAAGCCGGTGGCCACGGCCGGCTGGACGTGAGTGCGTCTGTGAGTGTTGTGGGGAGGAGGCGTGGCTGAGGGGCTGAGTGCAGTGAAATCCCAGCTACGTCAGGACTGGCAGAGATGGGCGAGCTCACGGCCGAAGCAGGTGCTCAGCGGCACGCCCCTCTGGGTGTTAAAGCTGACTGCTGACAGCTCCAGCGACCGCTCGCCGCATCGCTTGGAAGCGTCAGAGCGGGACAGACAGCCTGGCATCCAACAGGGCAACATGGGTTCAGGCAGCACACAGAGGCTCCGGGCAGGCGGGGGGTGGGGGGAGGACAGCAAGCAGACAGTTTCACATAGGGACCTCATCACCCCCAGGACCTGGGACCCGTAGCTAAACCTCCCGTCCCGAGAGTGACGAGGCCACAGGCAGCTGTGGGCTGCTGGTTGGCAAGTAAAGGAACAGGATGCCGGTTCAGGGTTCCCTCCAGACGAGGGACGCATAATTCCTTCAGCACAGTATGTCGCCGACATGTGAGGGACACACTTATATTAAAACAATGACTTGGCCCTGGCTGGTGCGGCTCAGCATCGTCCTGTGCACCAAAAGGTCGCTGGTTCGATTCCCAGTCGGGGCACATGCCTGGGCTGCAAGCTCGATCCCGTCAGGGTGTGTACAGGAGGCAGACGATCGATGTTTCTCTCTCACATCAATGTTTCTCTCCCTCCCTCTCCCTCTCTCTCTAAAAAAATCAATAAAAACACACTTTTTTAAAAAAGCAATGATTTGTTGTTTACCTGAAATTCAAGTGGAACTGGGAGTCCTGTATTTTACCTGCAACCCTACCCACTTGGTGTCTTCTCCCTGAAGAACACATCGTACCCGAGTGAAAACAAACAGAACCCTAGGAAGCAGTCGAGGGGAGGGTTCCCTCAGCAGCCGCCTCACAAGCTTGTCTTTGGAGGGAGCTGAAGGGGGAGAGTGTAACGGACACGTGAGAAGATGAAACAGCTGGAGGCCTCCGTATTGACCAACAGATGGAAGTCAGAGTGTGATATTGCAGCTGCCAAATGGGGAAGTTTTCCGGAACCTAAGACATGTCCACGTTGTTGTTTTGTTTGTCTTTGTGGAAAGCTACATGTCCCTACGTTTGCAGAGGAGAGGACATCACTGTGGAGAACCTGTAACTGCCGAGCTATTTGAAACTGGTCGGCGAAGAAGCACGGAGTCACACAAACATTTCAGAGGGGTTCTCGCTGATGGTTTTGCAAACGTCTCCCCGAGATAAAAGACTGCCTCATAGATGCGCTGGCCTTGCTATAGTCGTCACGTGATCATTGACAGTATCGTCGTCTCTCCTGGGGCCCTGCAGTGTCGGGACACACGTGTGGAGCCCGCAGCCGGTGGGAGCAGAGGCCCTGTCCAGTGAGTGGTCTGCACGGTCTCCATTCACGAGCGAGAGGGGCTCCTCTCTGACCACAGAACGGAGGGCGCTCCTTTCTCAAAGTTCTCAGAAGCGGCCTGTTGCGCGATTGCTCTCATCCTTAACCCAGTGAAGATTAGTAAATACACAGAAGCGTAGGACCCCAACGCTGTAATTAGGGACATTGGTCAACGTAGCCTTTACATTTACATTTTGGGACCGTTTTATGCTCCCACTGTCGGTAATATGAAGAGGGACTATTGTGTACCATTTAAAATCAAATACACGTATTTCACGTGGACTTTGTTGCGCACCAGGCACTTCCGCACAGAAACCATCAAACATGAACCCCCGGGACGCGAGAAGACACAAAAGGAAGGGAATGAACGTCGTTTCACGACTCACAGGGACAGAGACCAACATCCAGCAACTCTCTGGACCCACTGCCTTGGATAACGGGACTTTTAACCACGAGCACAGATGCTCGTGGGGGCAGAGCTGTTTCTGCTGCCCGCGTACATCCTCAGCAGCCCGGGGCCGAGAGCTCCCTGCACGGTGGTGCCCTGTGCCCGCGGGAGGGAGTGAGCACACGGCGATCACAGAGTCTCAAGGGGACTCCAGACAAGGACCCACACAGAGGCCGAGCCGAGGTGCGGGAGTCCCAGGTGCCGAGGTCCCTGGCAGAGAGCAAGCTGTCTGGGGGCAGCGTGCCTCCCAGGTGTATGAGAAATTGGATGTAACTCCTCAGGTCAGAGAGGGCGCCCTCTACCAACAAAATCAAATCCAGACAGAGTCCAAGCGGGGCAGCAGGTGGGAAACCCGTGTCCCTGAGGCCGGGGTGGCTACAGCGAGAGCAGCCTCACTCAGCCTCTCTCTGGTTAGTGCACTGGCCTGGCTGGGTCCTGACTTGGAACCTGCACAGAGATCGCCAGGGATACCGTCCAGCCAGCGCAGCGAGCCCCCGGAGCTCACTGCCCCGCCCTCAGTCAGTGGAGCTCTGACCAAGCGTGGGCTGCGTCCACCGCGTGGGGACGCTCCAGGACCAGCGACCCTCCCTCCCCGCAGACTCGGCTCAGTCCTACAATCACCCTGCACCAGCCGCACCGGCTCTCTCTCCACGGCCACGAGCAGACGGACGCGCGGACAGCCCTGCTGGCCATACTCACAATGTTAGTGACGTCTGGGCAGGCGCCGTTCTGCAGCAGCAGCAGCACAATGTTCAGGTGGCCCATGAAGGCCGCCACGTGTATAGGCGTGAGGCCCGACTGCGGACAGAACAAAGCAACACGACAGCAGCTTTACTCCCCTGCACGCGCCCGGCTCTCCATCGGCGGCCTAGTGAGGGGCAGGGGGCGCAGATGGGGGAGTGAGGGGTCGTGACAAGCCGGGACCGTGTCTACCTCGGTGACCGCCTGGATGGAAGCCCCGTATTTCACCAGCAGCTCCATGACTTTGATGCGGTTTTTCTTGCAGGCAATGTGCAGTGGAGTAAAGCCGTTCTGTGCAAAAGACAACCGGTTAGTGGGAGACATGCACAACCACTCACGCACGGCATGCACAACACGGCGTCCGACCGCATCGTCACACGTGCTGTGTCCGGAGGGCTCTGCCCCTGTAGTGAGCACTGGGCGTGCCCGTGGGGGCGGCAGTGTGGGGTCCTGCTTGTGTGGACACCGAAACGAGCGCCCACAACAACACGGCAACTCATCGGAGAAGGACAAGGGGCCGTGAGACGTGAGGGGGCTGTGAACCGTGTCACGTGCTTCGGAGATGAGCATGTTTTTTCTGATGAAAGGCCACATCTTAGGCGCAAACACCCTTCATCGGTTTTAAATTCCAAGGCCGTGACTGCCTCTACAATCAGTGTTTCAGATCTGCTGCCACTTTCTCCAGGAGGAGGTGCCAGTGAGCAGAAAGCATGATTTGTGTGGATAGTTTTTTATATCCTGATGTTATACTAAAATGTGTACAAGAAGTTATCTTAGCAGAAGTTATAAGATAGGTTCATGAAACCTATTTTATGGAGAAATGATTCTTAAATTCATGAATATTTTTAAGAAAAGCGTGGAGGGTTTCTGGAATAATGGGAAGGAGAGATCTCTCAGAGGCAAAGGAATGTGGTGATGTCGAAGGCACTTTTGAACTTTTCACACTGAGCTCATGTGTAAGAATTGGGGGCTATTCTATAAAAATGTGCCTGGCCGGCGTGGCTCAGTGGTTGAGCGTCAGCCTATGAACCAGAAGGTCATGGTTTGATTCCAGGGCACATGCCTGGGTTGTGGGCTCGATCCCCAGTGTGGGGCGTGCAGGAGGCAGCCGATCCATGATCCTCTCTCATCACTGATGTTTTTCTCTCTCGCTGCCTCTCCCTTCCGCTCTGAAATCAATAAAAATATAAAGAAAAAGAAAAATGTGTCCCCAAACTTCCTCCAGTGCGCTACTGAGTATGATATTTCTATGTGAATGTGGATCCCTGTGGGGAACGGGTGCATGTGCCCTGCAGGTGACCGTGGGGACAGCGCCAGCCAGTGTTTCTCTGGCCCCGCCCCTCTCAGGAGGCGCGAGGTCATGCTGACTCAGCACCTGCTCCTCCCAGGACTGAAGGCATTTCCCGGTATGGGCTGTGGGTGAGCCGGAGGTAAGCAGACGCAGCACTTACAAGACTTCAAATTAAGTCGCAATCTACACTAATAAAAGAGAAACATGCAGATTGGTGTCACTCCACTACTCCCACCAGCCAATCAGCCGAGTATGCAAATTAACCCAACAAAGATGGCGGTTAATTTGCATATGTAGGCGCCCAGCATCCTGGGAACAGTATCGGCACCCAGGTCACTCCGAGGTAGGCCCCGTGTGGGCCCTGAGAAGCCTAGGAAGGGCCTGAGCCAGGGGGCTCCTGGGCAGGGCCGAGCCTGTGATCGGAGCTGAGGGGTCCCCTGCCCAGGCCTAACTCCTCGGCCAGATGCTTTAGGCCTGGGCAGGGGCCAAGCTGGTGATTGGAAGGAGATGGGGGGGCTGTGCCCAGGCCCCAAGTCTTTAGGCCTGGGCAGGGGCCGAGCCTGTGATTGGAGGGAGCTGGGGGTCCCCTGCCCAGGCCCAAAACCTGGGCCAGAGACTTTAGGCCTGGTCAGGGGCTGAGCCGGCGATCGGTGTGAACTACAGAGGAAACACCTTTTCTGACCGCTCATTGGCTAAGCTCCCTGTATGCCACTGGTAATATTCTTAGTAACTTGGGTAATAAGAATCCAATAAGGTGATCTAGGGTTTTTCCACCACACTCCTGGAGAAAAAAATGAAGGTCCGCTGCTGGAGGGCTAAGAAATGTCATATCCTGCCCTATCCGGTTTGGTTCAGTGGGTAATGCCTCGGCCTGCCGACCGCAGGGTCTGGGTTCAATTCTGACCAAGGGCATGTACCTAGGTTGCAGGCTCCTCCCTGGCCTGGGCCCAGGCAGGGCTCATGCAGGAGGCAACCAATCAAAGTGTTCCTCTCACTTTGATGTTTCTCTCTGTCTTTCCCTTTCTCTTCCACATTCTCTAAAAATCAATGGAAATATATCCTCAGGTGAGGATTAAAAAAAATACTAAAGAAATGTCATATCCTATGGACACATCTTCTTGAAAATGCCTAAAGAAAGTTGTCATTTTTTCATGGTGAAGGGACTGGAGTCCGTGTTGATGAAAACACCTTGGTGGCTGCGGTGACTAGCAGTGGCTGCAGCAGCAGGAGTGTCTTCCCCTGATCCGCCAGTCGCCTCCTGCAAAGGGAGGCCAGACTGCGGCTTAGGACCCCTCCCCAAGGGGAGCAGGGAGTGGGCCTAAGCCATCAGTAGGACATCCCCTGAGGGCTCCCAGTATGTGAGAGGGGGCAGGCTGGGCAGAGGGGACCCCCCCCCCCGTGCACAAATTCCGTGCACCGGGCCCCTAGTATTATATAAGCTCACTGCCCATTCTCCGGCTAAAAAGGAGCATTTTCCTCCTTGTAAGAAAATACCTCCACACGTGTCGCACAGAACCCAGAAGGGCTGTTTCCCTGGCAGGGAGGCATGCACTGATTCTGATGGGAGGTTTCTAAACAGAAACACGATTCCTATTGGATCATTCCGAGGGCATCCTATCATCTCAAGTATTGAGTGAAGACTGGACGGACATGAACCATGTAAATGTCTAGGAGGAAGTGTGCTCCTTGTGTGTGAGTTGGGACGAGACACAGTTAGTGCACGCCTGCGGCCAGTGGCTGTTAGAAGGAAGGTGGCGCGGGAACAGTCACTCGGCATTGGGCCCCGGGAGACACCAGGTGCAGGGATGGCTTCCGGGAGGTTTGTGCCAACCGCCTGCTGGCGTCAGGCCCCGAGCCGGCTCGCGCCCCTGGCTGGTGACCAGCCCAGGCGGGACTGTCAGGGGGGACTGTCCGGGGAACCCCACACATGCTTAGATCACACCGTCTGACATGTCCGACCATTGGCCACCGCAGCCTCGTCCAGAAAGGAACGACTAAGGCTCAACTTTCCCACACGTTCATTCTGACCCGAGAGAGCTGTCTGAACCCACTTTATCATTCCCTCTGTCAGCTTCTATTTTCCAGCTCAAACTGTTGCCACTCAGAGCTGCCCTTTCTATTGCAACTCGCTAACCATGGCACGCCGCCTTCGTGTTCTCGTCCACCTCTCCATGCCCGCGATCGCGTCCCAGCGACCGTGGAGGCAGGACGGAGCCAGGTGCCCGT